CCTCTCCCCCCGCCCTCCCGGGCCGGCCAATGCTGGTGAGCCGGCTGCCCGCGTTGTCGGGGGCAACCGCTTTCACCCTCCACCCCCGCCAGCAGGAAAACGAGGAGGACCCGGGTGGATGGAAAAAGCGAGGGGAGAAGCAGGGAGGAGGCAGGAGGTGAGAAGAGAACACAGCTCCGCGAGCCACAGAGTAGGGGCTGCAGGTGCCCCAAGGCAGAGCGCAGGTGTATGGGAGCGGGGGGTGGGGGTAGGGGGTGCTCAGCACCGTCCCGGCAAAGCGAGGGGCTAATTAGGTGTTCTGTGCTCCCCCAGGATGAGTAGGGGTTTTATTGCACCCTAGCTCAGACCCATACCCGTGTCCCTCTTCCCTTCGCTCCTCAGAGCCAGAGCAACACCCTCTTGGTGGTCCCAAGGATCCCCCCTCCTTGCCTGTCTTACCTGGGGGGCGCTTTTTTGCACACAGTGCCATCTCACCCAGCAAGGTCCCAGCAATCCCATGGGAGACCCTGCAGGAAGGTGACAGGCATGTGAGGTCAGGAAGCTGAAGGGAACCCTTCACTCCTTTCCTCAAGGTTCTTTTCCAGCTCTGACCCCGCGCCTCCCCCAACATTCTCTGACCACCCCCACCAACACTCACCTCTCTGCCCTAATGGGCCCCCTGAGAAAGACGGGGATTTCCCCAGCACCTCCCACCAGGTCTGTGCCCTGGACCACAGGCAGGCACTGAGAGCTGGCAGAAGCCAGGCCTGCCAGGAAAGGGGCTGAGAGGTGAGGTCACATACAGTCGAGAGGGCACAGCTCTCAAAGTATCCATCCCAGGGACACCGGATGCCCCCGTGTGCCCTCCTGGTGGCAATGAGTGGTGCCTTGCTTATTAGAAAGCAGAATGTCCCCCAAAGGGTGGAGTGGAGAGAACAGAAGCCAGGAAACACCTGGCCGGGCCTCAGGAAACAGGGTGCGCAGGCTCCACCCTTCGAAATGCTTATATTCCCCATCAGCCCCCATCACTGGGGCTTCCATTATCACCTCCTCCAGGGGAGCTCTCATTAGAGGCATGGCCCTCACTTCCTGCAGACAGTCCCCAAACCGCTTCCTCTAAGACTGGGCCAGCCACCCTTTTGGGCCAGCAGAAGGGTCTTTGAAACGCCAGTGGGGAGCAGCCCCTCCCTCTCTCCCACCCACAGCCTATGGCAGTCAGTATGACTCCAGACAGGCTGCAGGGGCGGCCGGCCCGTCGGTCCTCTGCTTCCTTCCCTTCCCTTGGCCTTGCTTTCTCCTAAAAAGGTAGAAGGCCTGGCCTACAAGCCAGTCTCGGAGCCACATCCCTGTTCCCCAGCCCAGCCCCAAGGAAACTGCCAGCCAGTCATCTCCTCCTCTCTGGGTGGAGGGCCTTCCACCTCCTCCTCGCGGCTGGCTTCCCCGTGCCTCCCTCCAGCCTGCTGGGCACACCCCACCCTCCTGTCAGCCCCCAAAGATACTAATTGCCTGTCTGCCTAACCTCTATAATTACAGACTCTGGCCACAGCCCAGTCACCCACACAGGTCCTCCCTTTCTAAGTCAGACTCGCTCTGTCCCTGACCCCAGATCAGGCAATACTGGAAGTCTGAAGCCCTTCCATCCCAACCCTCCCCAACTATGGCCAGCAAGGGTGCCTGGCTCAGGAAAAACCTCATCCACACTTTAGAGATGCCAAGCCCTCCTCTAGGGCCCCAGCCAGGGTCTCCACCCAGTCTAGGGTATGAGTCATGGGAGGGTGGGGTGTGGTGGGAGGGGTTGGAGGAGCACGGGTGGGCTCACAGGTTCCACAGGCAGCCCCACCCTCGGGGAGGAAGGCAATCGAGAAAAACCACAGGCCCAGAGATGTGTCTGGGGTCAGGGGAAAGAACTCCCGAGCCC